CCCTGTTGTGTATCTCTGCATTTACCACCGGGGCTGTTATGCATCTGGCCGCAATAACATCCAGAGGTAAGCTGAAATAGTCCATTCCATGTGCCCGTGATGTGAAACGCGACGCCTGATATCCAAGTCAAATTTCATCACGGATATTGACCTTCCAATCTCCTCAGGAAAAGACCTTCGCCGCACCACTCCTGGAACGTGCAAAATAGAGCATGCATCTTCTGACAAAACATCGAAAGATACACCAGCATGCATCTTCTGGCAAAACATCGAAAGATACACCCTCCATAGGTTTTGTCCTTTTAACGTTCCGTGAGTGGGTGTGGCGATGCCTATAGAGTGCGAAGAAGGCCGATCCTGATCTGGAAAAGAGGGCAGGTTCGTTGTAGCAGGGACCACCACTGCGACACATGTTGGCTTCCCAGGAAAGTTCATCAAGGGTGCCTGGTCAGAACTCTCTACACTTAAGGGAAAAAAAAAAAAAAAAAAAACTCTCTACGCTTATGAAGTCGGATGATCATAGACAATGGGCCCTCGCTCCACTATACAGCACCTGGACCAGAAAGCGTCCAAATGCATGTGCCCCACATCTGACAGTTCGGAAGCACAACTTTTTTTTTTTTTTTTTTGAAAAAGGCTAATTCTTTCAAGCCCAACCAATTCAATTACCTGTCAAATCTGGACAGGATGGCCTTTCAGGCCTTTTTTTTATTGCCATTATAGTATTATGGGGAACCCTGTAGCAGCCACATCCGTGCTCAAGCCTCCAACGAGGGAACATGCGGGAGCTGCACCCACCAGCAGGTGCGATAGCTGCTACAATTCAATGGTCAAATCTGGACAAGATGGCCTTTCAGGCCTTTTTAATTGTCATTATAGTATTACAGGGAAACCCGTAGCAGCCACATCCGTGCTCAAGCCTCCAACGAGGGAACATGTGGGAGTTGCACCCACCAGCAGGTGCGAACAAGGGAACAGGCGGGAGCTGCACCCAGTAGTGGCCACATCCGTGTTGGAGCCACATCCGTGCTCAAGCCACCAACGAGGGAACATGCGGGAGCCGGTGCGAAAGAGGGAACAGGTGGGAGCTGCACCCAGTAGCAGCCACATCCGTGCTCAAGCCTCCAACGTGGGAAAATGCGGGAGCTGCACCCACCAGCAGGTGCGAACGAGGGAACATGCGGGAGCTGCAGGTGCAATACCTGCTACACATCCGTGCTCAAGCCTCCAACGAGGGAACATGCGGGAGCTGCACCCACCAGCAGGTGCGAACGAGGGAACAGGCGGGAGCTCACCCGTAGCAGCCACATTCGTGCGCCAGCCTCCAACGAGGGAACATGTGGGAGTTGCACCCACCAGCAGGTGTGAACGAGGGAACAGGCGGGAGCTGCACTCAGTAGCAGCCACATCCGTGTTGGAGCCACATCCGTGCTCAAGCCTCCAACGAGGGAACATGCGGGAGCTGCACCCACCAGCAGGTGCGAAAGAGGGAACAGGTGGGAGCTGCACCCAGTAGCAGCCACATCCGTGCTCAAGCCTCCAACGTGGGAACATGCGGGAGCTGCACCCATCAGCAGGTGCGAACGAGGGAACATGGGGGAGCTGCAGGTGCGATACCTGCTACACATCCATGCTCAAGCCTCCAACGAGGGAACATGCGGGAGCTGCACCCACCAGCAGGTGCGAACGAGGGAACATGCGGGAGCTGCAGGTGCGATAACTGCTACACATCCATGCTCAAGACTCCAACGAGGGAACATGCGGGAGCTGCAGCCACCGGCAGGTGCGAACGAGGGAACAGGCGGGAGCTGCACCCAGTAGCAGCCACATCCCTGCTCAAGCCTCCAACGAGGGAACATGCGGGAGCTGCACCCACCAGCAGNTCAAGCCTCCAACGAGGGAACATGCGGGAGCTGCACCCACCAGCAGGTGCGAACGAGGGAACATGCGGGAGCTGCAGGTGCGATACCTGCTACAGCAGGGGGGCGATACCGGCCAGGGGTCAGCTGGTAGCATCAGTCAGTCTGGGCCAGTCACTAGCAGCAGGTGCGAATGAGGGAACATGCGGGAGTTGCAGGTGCGATACCTGCTACAGCAGGGGGGCGATACCAGCCAGGGGGAACATGCGGGTGCTGCAGCAGGGGGGCAATACCGGCCAGGGGTCAGCTGGTAGCATCAGGAATGAGCTTCTTTTTTTTTTTTTTTTTTTTTTTTTCAGAAGGACCGAGCTTCTTCTATAGGCCAGTCACTGTGCCTCGCCTCCGGTCCCCTCCCCCTATGGACATCAACAGTCTCTGCTCAATGCCACTTGGGTGGACCAATGGCATATCTCTAGGTGGCGGGCGCCAAGCTTGCCCATGAAGGTACATGAGGCCAATGGGGATTGAACTCAAGACCTCCTAACTGCCACTTGCGTGCCTTACCAACTGAGTTAGGCCGCTGGAAGAAGCCCAACTCAATGTATGGTGCAGTTATTAGGGCCGTCCGATGCAGTCTATCTAGGATGACAGACGACGGACCACCATTGTCGGGCTACTCCCTTCCTAATTCGCATCCCTTAGGCTGCGGTATAGTGGGCTTCCGCGTCTGTGTCAAGGTGTCGCATTTTTGGCGGCGGGCGACCAGGACGCAAAGTGGGTTCTTAGGGGGCAAAAAAATTTGGGGGACCGGTCCTTGCCAAAATTGTGGACTACCTACAGCTAGCTCTGGTAGAACCGGAACTTTTGGAAAAATGAAGGACCGGTCCTCGGGTGGAAGTAGACCCCAAAAAGAAGTGGGGGGCATTGGACCGGTCCTCGGGTAAATGCGGACCCCAAAAAGAAGTGAGGGCATGTGAACTGCAAAAGGGCCCTCAGGCCCAGGCGTTGAGCCCCGTCTTCTCAAAACAGGGAGGTCAGGCA